TTTGCAACATCTCTCTCCGTTTTATCTTTCCCTATTTCTGAACCTGTATCAACTGAAAATTCGAAATACTCTTTTTCATCTATCATACTGATCTCCTTATCACAGTCACTTGATCATCCCCTTTTCCATCTCTCAAGGCTTATTCATAATTCTGAGAAAGCCGTTGTATGGTAACTGATTCAATCCTGCTACTTCAATATCGCCTTCATGAACTTATGAACCTATCAACTCCATGTAATATCTCCCAAAATCCTAATCTCAAACTGGATTACTATTCCACGTAAAATGTGATGAAATATCTCGTCAGGATTAGCTCATCTGACGTCTATTTCTATGCTCGGCTACCAAGAACTTGGGATTGATGGCTCCTGCGAACGTTTTTCACGCAATTACCATTCATTTCTAAAAGGACCCAACATCACAGCATCCGTTTTCTCCTTCAATCATCTCATTAATAAAATGTTGACCAAGTCCAATCCATTACAATGTTTAATCAGTAATGTATCAATCCTTATTACATCCTCGATTCTACCCTTCTTAGTAAGGCATGCTTCAGACCCTCCGCATACCTAATGGATCTATTCCCACTGAATTCATTCACAGATGGCTAGCCAACTCTGAACTTTTTAGAAGCCAGGAATGGCTGCAGCAACATACGAGTACATCTTGAGTGGTCCTGGTGCGAGCATCTTCGCAGTTGATCAGCAGGGTTACGTCTATCTGAATGTGCCGAGTGTGGACGCTGACCCGCCGAATCCGTCATCTTATGCGTTGAATGTACGTAATTAGCGATTTCATCTGACAAGTTCTTAATTTTGCGGACATCATAACGTTAAATTAGCAAAGGTTTTCGAACTCCAAATTTGAACTAGTGAAAATGCAGCAAGTTTCCCTCGAACAAATACGTTAGTTGCGAAAGTTTATGAAAACGTTCAGTTATGATGTCTGGTGGAATCATTCCGACTTTGCAACTTCTCAACTATTCCTCAGTACAACAGCCGTGAAGGTAATGATGCGAAAAATTTAGATTGAGGCACGTGAGGTTAACACGACGCCGATTCGAATCAGCGAATCAATCACAGTAACTATTTATATTGTCGATATGAACGATAATGTGCCAACGTTCTCTTCTCCCGTATATTTTGCGAACGTATCGGCCAGCGGTCCCGATCGACCTGTCATTGAGGTACAGGCCACTTCTATTTTTGTCGCATTTGAATATCCGGAAGGTTTCAGGGCAATCTCATAATGATGAAAATTAGCTAAATAAGTGATTTGTAGATATTTGCTGAGGACAACGACTCTGGAAAATTAGCCGAAATCGATTATCGAATTGTATCAGTGACTAACGGTGCATTTGGCAACTTCCGTTACGATCCGGTTTCAAAACAACTGATAGCAATGGGAACACTGGTACCATCTGAACGATACCAGGTGAGAACACAATCTCGATAGGGATTCAATCAATAGTTTCTGTATGTTGCGATCAAGTTCGCAGTAAATGATCATAGGTGATATGGGTTCTCCACTCCATTGACATCTGAAGATCAGTCAAAAAATATTTCATTGAAAGCCTCTCCGCATACCTCGTTCATGATGAAAAGTATATGTTAGTTCTGGTCCTCCAAATTGTTCGTTGGAAGCATGGTGTTATTTGATCGCGCTAATTTTTGAAAAAATCTTTAAGGAACATCGTGAAAAATTGAAGGAAATCGACCATTCAAATACAATAGGTAATGTGAAAAAATGGGTTTTCAGGTTGTTTTGGAAGCCAGAGATGGTGGTGGTTTGTGGAGTCAAGCAACCGTTGTTGTCCTAGCAATTGGTGATGTTGCACCACCTCAAGGGCTCCCCATGGGGACCTTTAGCGAGTTTCCCAAAGGGCCAATCGAAACAAGTCCAACTGATCTTGCCGTGAATATACCTCCTGCAAACGTCGATCGTAAGTCTCGCTATTTAGTAGTTCGTTGGAAACCAGTCAGGGAATGGATCCATGTGCTCCACAGTAAAGGAAATGAATTTCCATTGCAGAATCGAGCGAATCCGTTCAAACGTTTGTCACCGAAATCAGTGAAGCTACGCCACCATATTCAATCGTTCTCACACTGGGAGTACGTTTCTTCTGAGGATTGTCTTAAATGCTATCACTAATGTTTAACAGTTTGCTCACTAAGAACCGTTTAGCAGAAAATAATGTTGATGATCTCGCAGAATAACTTTCGGGGATTGTCAATCTGCTTTAAACTCTTCAGGATGAGGCTACGCGAGGTCGCGTTTTCTTCACAATTACAAATGGTAATGAGGCCGGCAAGTTTGCCATCGACGAGGAGACGTGAGTCACTTTCACTGTTGGTTTCAAACTGTGTATCACATTGCGATTCATATGGGAGGAGTTCCTTCCTTCTGCGGGTTATCGTTAATGTACATTCCTGCTAACGTTCCTTCTAGGAATTCTCATTTAACCACTGATTACTAATGGATTCCGCAAAGTATCGTTGAAATTATGACATCGCTCGATTGCTCACATTCACTCTTTAACAATATTGCCAATGTAGTTTCAACAACGTCAACGGGAAAATGCAAACACTTGAAATCAAAGACTAAATTAAACTGAAGACTTCATTTTCGCGGAACAAGAAATAGTAATTTTGTGATGAATTTATCTCTAAGCGACAATTCAAAGCGTCTATTTGGTGCAAAACTTTGACAACCAGATCATGTTGATGTTTTTGAACAATGTTGCAGCACTGACCGTTTCCTATCACAAGGAAGATGACGAAAATTATCCTCAACCACCAAAAACTGCTGTAATTTTATTATTTCAGTGGTACAATTTTAACGGTGGAGACGTTTGATAGAGAATCAGCTCAAATGTACAACTTACAAATTGACGCCTCATCTAGAAATCCTCCACAACACCTCTACTGGACCATCGTACAAGTTGCAGTATTGGTCAGTTGATTTTGTCTCGTGTGCTGAAATGCAGTTACCATTCATATACTTGTAGCCCACTACTGAGAGTTAGAAAAGCCATTTTTTTCCTCTGTGGATAATCAGATCCAATTAATGATTTTTGGCTTAACTGAGGAAAGGAGTTTGGATTACGCCAATAAAGGATTTGAAATGGAGATGAAATTATTCACTGGAATGCGGAAAGATGAAATTGTTGATTATTTCAGGATGTCAACGACAATGCACCCGAATTTGTGGATCCAGTACCAATCCAAATGATAGCCGATTTGAGTGGTGTGAAAGAGTTAGAACCGAATATGTTCGTTGGGAAAATCACCGTGCAAGATTCAGATTCACAAGATAACGGGCGCGTACATCTACGAATTCTGCCTCCAATGGACAAGTTTGTGGATTTTATCTGAATTCTGTCTTGGTCATATTAATTATGAAACTGAAGGAGTTAGGAGTTGTGGTATTGAGAAGAAAAGCTTGGATTGCGAGCACGAATTCACTTCACAGCATTGTCGCTCAGTTTTCAACAGTTGTTCACATCACAATTTTTTTGGTGACTTTACTCAAAATTTCGAACACCAGGTGAGTGGTACTAAGGAGTTGTCGCGTATCGAAATGCAATTACAGACTGTTTACTGTGGGCGATGATGGTAGTGTAACAGTCAAAGGGAACGTAACCAGCGCTCATTTTGGACAACATCATGTGGTGTTCGTTGCTTCGGATAACGGTGAACCTCCTTTGGAGACAAAAGCTGATGCGACAATTACAGTAAATGGACGTCAAATGACTCAGGTACAGCTTCTAATGACGCGTTCAGCATCAGTTTCATTGTTGACTCGATGTGAATTTTGGTGAAAGCATTTCATTCACCACTCCAAAAACGATCTAATTTCGGACACATTAAAAACATGCGATGGCTTCTTGGACTATTCTCTGCTGCATGTGATCAAATCGTCGAGAAGTAAGATAACTTAAGAAATCACTCATGTTATTTTTCAGAAAACAGAGCTGCCGGATATAGGGTCCACAGCTGATAATTACCCAACAATTCAGTATACAATAACCAGGCAACCGTTCACAGCACAGGAAATCACCGATCGTTCTCAAGAGGGTTAGTTCACTGCTTTGAGGTTTTTCTTGACGATCCCTTGCATCTACCACTTGGAAGATTGAAAAGTGTAGTTCAGCTAGCATCGCATTATAATGAATCCAATAAAATTCCTTCGTCGACATGTATTTTGGCAAGGATGCTGTTTAGAGATCGCTGTTCGCTTCATCTGAAGCATTTTTTATTCGCTGAGTTACCAGAATGAATCTCTCAAGAAGTCTGGTAGCTCTAAAATTGCCTCTATGCAGAACGGACGACATAATTGATTTGCAGAGTTGTTTACGGTGGTGCCATCATCGAATCTGGCTTCAATGCCTGTCATAACGATGCCCTCATCAACACAACCACCGTTCATTGGACCAGAGCGAGCGATTCCACATCATTTTGAAACCTGGATAGCACCAGATTTGACAGCATCTTCGAACGCCTCACAGCTTCCTTCTGTTCCAATCACCACAACACCACCGGCATTTCTCACACCGAGACCAGCTCCTGTTTTTGACCCATCAAAAATAACTGTTACGGTGAATGAAGGTGAATCAAGTGCCGGTATAACAAAAGTATCTGCTCACTACCCGGACAATATGCCTGGTCAAATTACTTACGTGCTTACCCTTGGTGATCCATCGCTGTTCGCGTGAGTTATTTACTGGAATAGCTCCTTCGAGTTATTTCATTAGTTTTTACATCAGTCATTGCATAAGTGACATTCCAAGAGTTCACCTTAACAACTAAGTCAGCTGTCCAATGGTCGCTTCTACGAAATCAATGTGACTCCAATGAGCGAGCGACTCAATTCTTGACAATATTGTTTTGACTGATTTTGGCGGTATGTTATTATTTTCAGAGTGGACGGTGATACCGGAGTAATTCGTTTGCTTCGGCCACTTAATGCTGAATCTGATTCTACCTATCAAATTCACGTATCAACCGCACAGGTTTGTTCAAGCGTGTTCTTCTTATAAGTTATATTCTAAGGAAGAAAGGAATTGTTTCATTATTGATGGATAAGGTCGTTCAGTATGACCTTGTGGTGCCATCTTCGCCCATGGACAACTGTTTAGGCTGGGATTTCGAAGCAGTTTCACTTTTGCAAAATTTGAGATTCCTCAAGTTCCTGCGTCGGGAACTGATTGCGCTTTCTACGTTTCGTTTCAAATTTGCGTCTCAACTGAACAGTGCAACTATTGCAGGCGTTGCAGCTGAACACCGGGTCAGATTATGCACATGAAGCGATCGTTGAAGTGAACGTGAAAGCTGCAAACAAATTGCCACCGAGCTTTGAATCAACGAATTACTCATTCACATTGCCTTCTTCATCCCTACCGGGAACTGTGCTTGGGCAAGTGATTGCATTCCATCATGACAAAGATGTAAGTAATGCTACACTGCAAAAGTGTTGAACGTCATTTATTGCTATTCGTTCAAATTCCTTATCGTGCGACGTTTTTTTTTGTGATTCGCATGGAAGCTTAGACCATTTCTCTGTTTGACAGCTAAGACCATTCTTGTCTAGCGAATTCAGTCTATACGTTTCTGTATTTTGGACGCAGAATAATTTTCGATGCATGTTGTGGGTCTCGTTCGATTAAACGGCTGCTACCACCGCATCTTTCAGCTCCATCTGAAGAACCATATTTTTGCTGAAAATGTCGTTTTTCAGGCGTCAAATAACAGGATTCAGTACGGACTGGTTTCTGCTGGTGGATTTGAAGATGCGTTCAGTATCAATCCAGACAACGGTATTATCACGCTAGAGAGGAGCATTGAGCCAAGTGGAAACAGCGAGCAGATCTTAGTAAGTAATAAACGAATGTCATTAACCATAGAAGGATTTGTTGCGCCTTCAATGGTTTCTGAACCAAAAACAATTTCAAATACTACCAAAATGTTTTCTCTTTCAGCTGACTGTGGAAGCAATGGATCAAGATGAGCCGTCTGTCGCGAGTGAAGCTATCGTTGTGATAAACGTAGAAGACCAAAGAATCCCGTCCACGTCTCAGACCACTCCCGAACCATTCGATGTACCATCTGCGAAGAATGCTCTACGCTTTTCCTCTCGCAGTTACACGTAATCATTCTTACTGTCAGCATAAATTAATCACAACCAGTCACCAATCCCAAAATTAACTGAAAAATTCAATCATCGGATACTATTTTTCAATATTGCTTTCGAGTGACTGTCGTATTGCTCACCGTCATTGGCACCATTCGATATGCATACCGATTTGAGCAACGTAAGATCAAATTGCTTCGAATAATGTTATAACT